TTGTCTCTTCACAACATTCAACACTTTGGTGAAGTTAATGTTGTATCTCACTCAGAGTGAAAGCTAGCACAGTAAGCTAACAGTAGGCTAGATTAGAGAACAGTTAGCCTAGCTTGCTATTATCATGTTAGCATTGAATCTGAAGTAAAGATAAAAACAAACTAAATATCTTTGACCTGAATAACAAGAGCAGCTAGCATTAGCAAACATTAGCATTAGCAATGTTACGGGGGTTCCTAACTGAGTGAAATGACCTGAAGTGTTTCAGCTGCCGCCATAATCACTAGGAAAGGAGCTTCAGTGCTTCCTAGCTTATCTCCTTTAGCAGAGGAAACATCAGACCATCCAGATGTGAATCCTCACATATGAAAGTTATTTTAATCCTCCGACTGTGGAATAGATATAAAACAAATTTTTAGAGTGATAGAGTAAGTAAGAGAAATGATATTCATTGTTTCCTCTGTAAAAACTGAAAACCTTAACCTTTACGAGTCAGAACGGAGAACTGCTCTGTCTGTGCTGATCTTCTGTTATGAATAAAGTTAGAGTGTAAGTGGGGTCACGTTTCCTCCGCACTGTGGTTCTCCTTTCCTAACTCCTTTCCTATCTCCTTACAACTTGTCCTTCTCATGTTTCCTCGACCTTGTGACATTTTCCATCGGGATCAAGGAATAGTGGTTAGGAAAGGATATGATTGAGTGGTTAGACTTTCTGAAGGCAGCCTCAGAGTCAGAGAGCGAATATAGATAGAGAAGAGAATATAGATGATTTAGCATCAGCTAACATCCACCGCACAACTGGAACTTACTGTTTGATAAACTACTTTGTAAAAATGGCAATTTTTCATCAAAGCTTTGAATAAACGCACTTGATCTGCAGCGATCGTTAGCATTTCCAGCTAATTAGCAACTGAAGTAAAGTAGTAGCTTTACCTCCAAGGACAATTTCCTTGGCTGCAGCGGTTTGTTTGACTTCAGGTTCAATAAAACAGAAGAAAAGTTTCTCCAGGATTCACGTCCTCTGGATCAGAGGTTAATGTTGGCAGCTCAGGTTCACACGTTAGTCAGGTGGTTCGAGAGCAACAACCTGTTAGTCTGTTCAGCTTCAAACACAGAGACTCTTTTAAATACGTTTAGAAATCAGTCAGAGACAGTTTTCAGTTCATGGAGATGAAGTTAGCTTCATAATCCAGTGAAGAGAAACAGATTCTCAGTTCTAGAACTGACGATAAGGTCTGATGGTGGATCGGTCTCTGTGAACAGCTGACGTTGAGCAGGTCTGAACAGATTTTAAACTAATGAAGGAGCAGCAGGGAAACAATAAAACTTTATCATAATCAAAACAAACACCAGGACAATTTATTGATTTCTGAGCAAATATTACATTTCATCCTTTTCAATTAAAATAAGAAAAAATACTAATTTTCCTTTAGTACCGATGTTGGAGCCAGTCCAGACCAAGTGGCAACACATGGTCCTGAGTGTGATCGGTGCAGCTCCAGTTGTTCCTGCAGAAAACAATGTTCACACCCATTCAATGAGTGAGAGAGTTTGAGGAGCTAGAACTAAATGAAATGATTAAAGGTCCATCAGAGTGTTTCTGTTCATCAAGCTTTTGATTCCATTAGTTCAAATCTGATGACGTTAAGACAAACAGAACTAAATGAATTATGAATATGCCCCATGATATCCCAGGCTTTAACCCACCTTCATGTTAAGAACCCAGTGTAATGATAATAACACTACATCTCAGTCAGAGGAACAGGAAACGTGTCTCACTCTGATCTACACATCCAGTGATTCACTGAGACCAACATTCATATGAATCAACACTGAGAAATATTCTCTAAACATTTTCACCACAGGCCAAGATCTACTTCTCTTTTCCTGGAGAGCTGCTGATGAGGATGTTGAAGATGCTTATTCTTCCTCTCATCACGTCCAGGTAGGTCCAACGTCTCCTACTGACGGACCCCTACTGCCCCCTACTGACCCCTACTGACCCCTACTGACCCCCACTGAACCCTACTGCCCCCCTACTGCTCCCTACTGCCCCCTACTGCTCCCTACTGACCCCTACTGACCCCCACTGAACCCTACTGCTCCCCCTACTGCTCCCCCTACTGCTCCCCCTACTGACGGACCCCTACTGCTCCCCACTGAACCCTACTGCCCCCTACTGCCCCCCTACTGCTCCCTACTGCCCCCCCACTGAACCCTACTGCCCCCTACTGCTCCGTACTGCCCCCCCACTGAACCCTACTCCCCCCCCACTGAACCCTACTGACCCCCACACGTGAATATTTGATGATTTGTCGGTGAACTCAACATCTATAAAATCACAATTGTAATAATGAAAAATAAATAAAAATAATATATTTGAGAGCTTCAGTGACACGTGTCCGTCCTGTGTGCAGTTTAATGTCGGGTCTGTCGTCGATGGAGTCGAAGGCGTGCTGTCGGATGGGCGTGCTCACCGTCACCTACTACCTGTGGACCACCTTCATCGCCGTGGTGGTCGGCATCATGCTCGTCATCATCATCAAACCCGGCGTGGGGACGGAGATGGAGAGCAACAGGCTGGGAGGGGGACCCGTCATGACCTCGGCCGACGCCCTGCTCGACCTCATCAGGTGAGACAGGTCAGAGGTCAGAGCTGAAGTTTGTCTCAGTGCGTGAGGTTCTAATCTGTTCTGCTGCAGTCACATGTAACCTGTGAGGTTGTGTTGGACGAATGTGTAGTTTGTGTTGTTTCATGTTCACACAGTTAGAGGATAAATCTGAAAACTGGACGATCGTCACACATGAAGGTTTTAACTCGTTCAGTCTAAACATCAGCTGTGAACGTTCCTCAGACCAGAAGAGGAGTTCTGGGTCTGGATCAAACTGAACCTGGTTCTGTTGGTTCACAGTGAAAACACTTTGTTGGACAGTTTGGACCAATCACAGGAAGTAGAGACACATTAAACCATAGAAGAAGAAGAAGAGGAAGCAGCTGCAGTCTTCACCTCCGACGATATAATGTTTGAACCACGAGGACGTTCATGTGGAGCATTTGAACTAATGTGGAGTACTGGGGTACTGTGGAGTACTGGGGTACTGTGGAGTACTGCTGAGTACTGTAGTACTGTGGAGTTCTGTGCCTGAAGGTACTGATGCTGCTAGTAATATTGTCATGATGTTACCATGGCAACCAAATGAAGCACATCATCCATCTTCTCTGTTCAAACAGAAAGACTACTACCCCCCCAAGTGACAACACGCCCACGTCAGACACCGTCTACAAACCAATCAGAGTCAAGTATAGGTAGACGACGCCCATGTAGGTCCTGAATTCCAAAGTGAAACTAAAACAGATCAGATGGAACATGAACCAACATGAAGCTTCAGACAGGAAACGTCCTTATTTAAATACGAATACATCAAATCCTTTGGATCAAAAGTGGATTGTCAGCTGTTCAACAGAAAACATGACCCTCATCAGACATGTGGGTTCTCACTCTCACAACCAGAACAGGTTTCAGACAGTCGTCACCTTTTGACTGATGGTTGACTGAACGTCACTCAGATCAACAATACGTAGAAAACAAACCCACACTCTCATCAATCCAATTACAGACGGATCTGATCGCTGTATTTTTAGTAATCCTGCGGGGGATGAGTGACAGATTAACCCAGTCAGCGGCCGTGAGATGTAATGATCTCTGCTGTGGCACGTTGGCAGACCACGCCCTCTTGCCTCATCAAAAAAACACGCCCACTTGTGTTGGCGCCTCATGAACACATCATCATCCTGTTGACCTCTGACCTCAGCTGAAGGTCAGCTGATCTGGACTGTTTACACTCCAGTGTCACACCTGTCGCCTCATGACACATATACTGTATACATATACATACACATACACATACACATACATATATATGTATATATGTATATATATACACACATATATGTACAGAGAAGATCATAAATAAAGACCTGGACTCTTTCCTCCACAGAAACATGGTTCCATCGAACCTGATTGAAGCAACATTTCAGCAGGTAAGAGAATCAACTGAGAACAAACTGTTGAATCGTTGTTCTGTTTCTTCCTGTAACAAATCTGTGTCTTCAGTACAAAACAGATCTGATTCCCATCCTCAAAGTTCCGACCAGAACCGTTCAGCCCAACTTCGTCTACCTCGTCCCCGATGAGAACGACCCTAAAGGTCGGACGGTGTACCTGGAGCTGACTCCGCCCCCAGAGATCATGTACAAGACAAGTCCCGGCAGCAGTCAACAAATGAACGTCCTTGGCATCGTCATCTTCTCGGCAACCATGGGTGAGCAGGACAGGACGCATCTCTGCTTCTCTTAGAAAACGTGATCTAGTCCTGAAGTTTTCTCCTCTAATGTCTCAGAAAAGTTTATCGAAGACTTCAACTTTTAAATTTCTAATTTTAAATTAAAAATCAGTGTCATTGTTCTTCTCAGTTTTACAAACATGTCGCAGCCTCTTCCTTCTTCTGTGACACATAATCACTTCTATTGTCAGGTTCTTGTTGGAAATAAACCATTATTGATTTTTAATGTCTGAGACACAAACCCACAGTTACTTCATCTGTTGACACGTTTGTGTGTCTGATGCAGATACGTCTCAGTTCGTAGACGTCCACTGTCCCTCTCAGCAGCAAATTCTCACGTCAGAGAGTCTGGAACTAAAGACGCTTCTGACTTTAATTTGTTATTTAAAAAAAAACATGAATCATTAAGCAAATTCCCGCAGCAGTAAAGTGACTGATGGTTTGACCTGATGTTTAGCTTCAGTCTGAACCGAACCAGCTGTGAACGAGTCCTGAGTTTTCATATTTTCATGAGTGAACTCCTCCCACTTGATTTCCTTTGTTGTTGCAGTGCGATCTTCACAGGAGCCTTAGAATCTATCAGGTGATTGATGTGAATGTAAACTGTGGCTGCAGGTCTGTTGCTGGGCAGGATGGGAGAACGAGGGGCTCCGCTGGTCAACGTCTGTCAGTGCATCAACGAGTGCGTCATGAAAATCATCAATGCTGCTGTTTGGTGAGTTTCAACCACGAACAGCTTCTATGTCAGTTTCACGATTCTTTAACGATGCTGTGATTGTTTAAGACGAAACGTTGATCGGTTGTTCTCATGTGGAACCGACACCGTCCACAGTTCAGTGAAGACGTCACTCTGACTCTGGACAGAGTCGTCGTGACGGCCTCAGCGTCTCACTGCTGACTGATCTGTGGGTAATTGACCCGATGACCTGTCAGCTGGTGAAAACGTGCTGGTGGTGACATCACTGATTTAGGGCTCCTCCCACTGCAGCTTCAGCCCCTGAGCAGATTAGAAACAGCAGCAGAGTCCGAACATGACTTAATGAGCTGAGCTGCTGCTGAGTGCTGGGTGTTTATATCTGTGGTGGATATTCATGGTGCCCAGAGGATGATGACCCCTTGACTCCTTGACTTCTTTAGTATCATCAGGCCAAAGAACAGAGAAAGAAATATAGAACTCTGACTGTCAGATTGTCATCTGTTCCTGCTCTCCAGAGGATAAACCCTCAATGACTCCATGACTTTGTCCTCTCAGGTACTTTCCTTTTGGGATCATCTTCCTGGTGGCCGGGAAGATCCTGGACATGCAGGACCCGAGCACCCTGGGGAAGAAGCTGGGCTGGTACGGCATCACCGTCCTTGCCGGCCTCTTCGTCCATGGACTCATCCTGCTCCCTCTCTTCTACTTCCTCCTCACCAGGAAGAACCCCTTCACCTACATTCGTGGGCTGCTGCAGGCCCTGGTGATCGCCCTGGCCACCTCCTCCAGGTCAGAGTCAGGGACAGTCCTTGTTGAACCTGCCGCCCTGCAGATGTGTTTTCTTGGAAGTTTTATTTGAATGGTGTCCGTCCCCAGCTCTGCCACGCTGCCCATCACCATGAAGTGTTTGTTGGAGAACTGCCAAGTTGACAGACAGATCGCTCGCTTCGTCCTTCCTGTTGGAGCCACCATCAACATGGACGGCACAGCGCTGTACGAGGCGGTGGCTGCCATCTTTATCGCTCAGGTTAACGACTACGAGCTGGACTTCGGTCAGCTGGTCACCATCAGGTAAAACTTCAATTCAATTCAGTTGTATTTGTATAGCACCAAATCCTAATATCCACGATCTCCAGACTCTTCACAGAGACGGTGAAGAGCTTCAGATCTTCTTCATCTAGAGAAACCAACAGTTGAACACTGAGCAGCACTTTGAGACTGTGGAGGAGAAACTCCTCATTAACAGAGAGAAACCTCAAGAACCAGAGTCAGTGAGGAGACATCTGCCTCCACCGGGGGAGGAGAGGAGAGAGAGATAGTGGGGAGGGGGAGAGACAGGTTCAGTTGTCTAAATGGTCAATGTACGACTCTATGAATCATAACGTCCTGCTATGGACCCACAGTTGGACAGTTTTTATTTAGTCTTTATTCAGTGAGTGAGTTGGAAGAACTAACTTTGGGAGAATCTCAACACTGATCGCCTCACGGAAAGTTTTTGCTCAAGATTTAAAGATTTCCACCTGTTGTCCGGCAGCATCACAGCTACAGCCGCTAGCATCGGTGCAGCAGGGATTCCCCAGGCTGGGCTGGTTACCATGGTGATCGTACTGACATCTGTGGGGTTACCTCCAGACGACATCACACTCATCGTGGCCATTGATTGGATCCTGTAAGTACCGGTACTCATGATGAATTGTAAAGTTTCATGAGGTGAAAGAGGAAGTGAATCAGATATAGAATCCGTTGTCTGAAGTTGTTGTGGTCTCACGATGTCTCCTCGTCTCCTCCGCCTCTGCAGGGACAGATTCCGGACCATGATCAACGTCCTTGGCGACGCCCTAGCTGCAGGAATCATCGCCCACCTCTGTCGGAAAGATTTCCCTCTGAGTGAAACTGGAAAGGTAAAAACAACATCCTGACACAAACTAAGATCCAGGCTGAGGTCAGACTGTCTCTCAGTGGATGATTCAGAGATCAACATGAGGACAATCATTATATAGAAGTAGCCTTTAGCTCAGAGAACAGAATCCAGATGTTTTCAAACGTGAACTCTGGAGAATGTCTGCACTAGTCGGGACTCTCCATGGAGATGATCTTTCACATGTGAAGAACACATGTGAAGAGCAGGACACACGTGACACAAGCGTTCAGGTGAGGGGGGGTCATAGGAACTAGGGCTGGGCGATATGACTTCAAATCATATCACGATTATTTCAAGTTAAGATACATCTTCAGTGAATTGCTCAGCCCTAATAGAAATGTACTTTTTATTNCCCCCCCGGCATCGGTTCTTATCACCAAAAGCTAAGAGTCTCCTCGTCTTTCCAAGCTGACGTCTTCGTCTGTGTCCAGGTTCCTCTTCTTCATCCTGAGATATTTGTCTTCTTTATTTACTGAAGTTTGTAAGAAAACTACAGTGCAACCAACTGCCACTGTGTGGCGCTAACATGTGTTCTCTTGTGCATCTCTCTGTTTCCAGCCTGTGCCGTCCTACGGAACACAGACTCCTCACAACTCCCACAGCATCAACGTGCCGATGACGGAGATCCACACACACAAAGACTGTATGTTCGAGACAATGGGTGACTCAGCAGGTGAGAGACACGCCCACACCGTCTACTACAACATCTGTCAGGTTTGATGGGAACAGACGGCGCCTCGTCACACGTCAGCGTCCAGGAGAGTCTGGACGAGTCCGGTCGAGTCTCAGTGCCAAGTTAACAGGAGCTTTAAGAAGTGAGGGATTCTGGAAACGGAGCAAGACGCTCCTTCTTAGCGTGATGGAGACAGTTCAGGACGGGACCTGTGGTTGGACTGGAGCTTCAGTTGTTTCCTGCTCACTGAGGAAAGAGAGTGTGAGGGGTCAAAGGGCAAACAGACCATGACATCGCCCTCAACCCTGACGAGCTAACTTTGAGATAGTATGACAGCGTCTCTGGTTGATGTCGAAGCGATGAACAGATGAACACGAGCCTGATCTGCACTGGAGGATTATGGGAACACAACAAGCCTCCCTGAGCACCTGTAGGTTCCTCATCTGGTCCGACAGCTCCACCTAGAAGACAGAGTCACCTCATGGTCCCTGTCCTTTCGGTTCTCTCAGGTGGAGTCGGTGTCATTATCTCTACCTCTTGGTGCCAGAACTCCACCGGAGGGTTTTCACTGTATTTGTGGCCCAAGTTTTAGTTCAGTCCCAGATACAATTTTGGCCCCAAGACCTGATGGACCAGCGCTCGTTGGACTCAGTTCTGAACTAGAACGTTCAGCAAAGGGCCGATGATCTGAAGACAGTAGAGACCACTGAAGAAACCACATTGATCAAATGTTCAATTTCTTGTTTCACCCAAATAAGCTAAAAATTTGGATCCACGAACAAACAAGATCCGTCAGCTGGTGTTTTGTCTGGAATCGACCAACAGGATGAACTCCTTCGTGTAGCCGTTTGTTCTCTTATCTTATGTTCATAACTCAGGTGCTAACACTCATTTGGTTTGGACTGTGATTGGTCGGTGCTCACTGCTTCAGACTCTGAAGGGTTAAAGGGTAATCCGCCCAATCAGACAGCTGAATGAATCAAGTGCTCTTCATCTCGCAGACTCCTCCTCCTCCTCCTGGTTGGTATTTGTCCGCATGCTGGCATGCATTCTAACTGACTTCATTGAAGTCGACGTGCTTTACTTTCTTCTTGTTTTGATTGAATGTTTCATCGTGAACTAAGTGCTGTAGGGATTATGGGAATTTACCACAGTCAGTAGCAGCAAACATGAACAGATGCTAGTTTGAGTTGCGGCTCATCTCTCGAGACAAATCGCTTCAATAATGTTCATTGATGAACAGAGGAAACTCGAACCCTGTTTCCAAACTGCATCAAGTCCCAGTGGCTCATTTAAATCGAATTCAAATCAAATTTTATTTGTATAGCCCAAATTCACAAAACACATTTTGCCTCAGAGGGCTTTACAATCGGTACAGGCAGAGACACCCTCTGTCCTGAGACCCTCGGTTCGAGTGAGGACCAGTTTAAAGGTGGTGAATATAACTGCAGTTATTTCATTGGATTCTTTTAATTTTTGGTTGTATTTAATTTGAGAGATCCCACAATTCTATGACAAAAAATTATTTAAATAATAATAATCAAAAACAATTTGTAGTCACTTAAATAGATCAAATATTTGTATGTTTTTGTGAAGTGCTCCTTGACCTGATTTCACTGTTGTAGTCGTGTTGTTTCAGTAGAATTCAACGTGAAAACGTAGATCTGCCTTAACGTTGACCCTCATTTTAAACCTCAATGTTCATCTGCCAACGCAAACCGTCAGCCCGACAACCTGCAGCATTTTCAACCGTTTCCTCAAACTTCATCGTGTTTACACATGATGTTTTTAATTAAGAAATATGTTTGTGTTGTTTATGTTCATTTATATTTGCAAACTGTGAATAAACGTTGTTTTCTCTTTCAGTGACACTGAAATGTTTCTGATTGAACCTGCAGGTTTAATCACAGCAGTTTTTCCCCCTCGGACCTGCAGTACTTTAGTTTGACTCTAGGTGTAAATGTTTTTTGTGTACGATGTTGATCCAGGTTAAACCTGCCGATCACACAATGTCAGCTGGGATTGTCCAGATCCTCTGACACTCAGGTGATCGTTCGTGTAGACGATGGTTTTACGTCTGAGTTCATTTCAGGGATGTGAGTCAAAAACAAACTGAAATCAACCAGAACGTTAGACATTGAATGAAAACACGAGGATGTGAACACGTAGAGTTGAAAACAAAGTGACATCATCTCTGCTGCTATTTTTACCCTCACACAGACCTGCAGCCATTAATCCAATCATTGAGCGTGAGGCTGCACGGGACTGAATCCCTGCGACGACACGCAGCCACAGGTGCCTCAGCTGCTAATCCTGCTCCACAGATTAACGAGGAGGAAGGTTCACTGAGGGGCTCTGCCTCAAGGACGCTCGTGGAAACATTCAGTTTCCACTGCCGACTTCAGAATAATAGAAATAACAATTAAATGAAAGAGACAGGGGCCCACACAGAGGGAGCATCAGGTCCCTGGTTCAACTGACCCCAACATTTATGTTTGTTGTTCTCCTTCACCCTGTTTCCTCTCTATTCCACTAATTCTTTCAAAATAAAGGTCTAATATTAGTCAGAAGCTCTCCATCTCGGGGTGGAACTGATTCAAACGTTCACAGTAACGTCTCAAGACGAGAATCAGAGTGAAGCTAAAGGATGTTTCAGGAGTATCTGTGGTTCGCAGTTCACAAAGCAGCCTCTAGGGGTCACCAGCAGAATGACAGACTGAGAACACAGAGAAAGACACGGCAGGTTTAATTGGTTTAATTCAGGAACAAAGTTTGTTGATGTGAAACAATGATAAGTTTTAAATTCACAGAGAAAACAAAGAATCTTTAATATAGAACATAAACACATGTTCACTTTGAATTCATCTCCAACAGATTTTTGAAATAGAAAAATATATCTTTTCACACTGCGGCTCAAGATTGATTCATGACAGAGATGAATCACAAATGCTCAAATATTTTCTAAGCAACAAGTAAAAGTCGTTTCAGTGCTGTGATATATTCTTATGATATTAGAACGTGTTCTAATAAGAGATGATACATAAAGAGGATTTTACATGAGGTAGATCATCTGCGGCTCTGAGATCTGTGGAGCTTCACAGTGTAAACGCTCCATCAACATTCTGCTGTCATTTTTATACATGTTTCTGATTATTGACCCGTCACCACAACAAGATCCATCACAAGTCAACTTTATTCGTCATCGTCAAAGTTTGCAAATGCAGGAAACCAGAGACTGTCCTTCCTCTCAGACCTGCTCCTCTCTGCGTCCTCTCTCTGCTGCTGTCTCACTTTCTTGATCCTGGAGGTCTGAGCAGCAGCGAGACTGATCATGCAGACCTGCAGGAGAACCAGACCTTCAGAGACCAGAGCTGCTGCCGTCCACCAACATCACAACCTGTTCACAGACTTATAGACTCACAGCTTATTAACTTATGATGCTGGTTAATCAGAGGTCTGTTTTCATAGTGAGGTTTGGTCTAACCTCTGTGGTCTAAACCCTGTAATGTAACCTCTGTGGTGTAACCTCTGTTGTCTAACCCTTTGTGGTCCAATCTCTGTGGTCCAATCTCTGTGGTCTAACCTCTGTGGTCTAATCTCTGTGGTCTAACCCTCTGTGGTCTAATCTCTGTGGTCTAACCCTCTGTGGTCTAACCCTCTGTGGTCTAATCTCTGTGGTCTAACCTCTGTGGTCCAACCTCTATGGTCTAACCTCTGTGGTCTAACCTCTGTGGTCTAACCTCTGTGGTCTAA